TGGCGGAGAGTTCAGACACTACGCCAGGGGTCTTCGGAGGAGCTTCGGTTCTGGGGCCACTTCTGAACAGTACGCCCAGGTATCTTCGGAGACGCTCACTCCTGGGGAGAGTTCAGACACTACGCCAGCGGGTCTTCGGGAGCCCTTCGTTTCTGGGGCCACTTTCTGACAGTACGCAGGTATCTTCGGGAGGCCATCACCCTGGGCGGACATACGGTCTTCTGGGCCACGCAGACAGAGGTTATTCGACTTTCGATTAGACCCGATTCCTGACCGGGAGAGGGGTTTTAGGTGGCACGAGGTGACCCTTTCCCCTACCCCCTTATGGCTACGCACCTTTAGTGCAACGGATTTTTCGTACCTCTGCATTGTAAGTCTGTATGTCTCCAGTAACACTCACCAGAGCGTGGCTGGTCATATCTTGCCTTCCTCTTACAATACAGGTTACAGTCGGGGCTTATTTCTTGAAGGACTCCATAGGACCGGGTCCACAACTGGCCGACCAGTCTGACCCGGACAAGATTTTCTGTGTTTTTGCTCCCAGGCACCGACCTCGCGTCATATAGAGTCTCACCCGGCCCGCTAAGTGCTTGTAGCGACAAACAAGGACTCTCCTGACACTTGGAAAGGACTCACCTGAACCAGACGCAGTTTCGAGCCGCCAACCCAGTCCCGCATCGGTCAAGGTGGGTCCAGACTAATACTGGGTGCTAGAGTCTCTCCACTCTCGGTTGTAATGTGTTAAACTTGCTAAACAGTGACAGGTGGTCAAATTCACTCTCTCCTTGTTCCGACCTAAGCAGACGCGCTCGGTCCGCCTCAAGAGCGGTGGTACGAGACACGGCGACCTCTACACGTACTATGTGACTAGAGGAACTGGACTACGACTCGGTTAGATGCTGAGTATAGTGGTCATGGACTGATATGACCGATAGAGTGGTAGACAATACCGGTCAGACAGTCCTTTACCACATACGTGTTGTACTGGACACCCTCTACTGGGACTTCCATCGAACTAGTCTGATAATTTCCGCAATGGTACCTCGTACTGTAGTAGGGAGGTTAATTCCCTATTGTTCCTGACGGGGTCTGTGTAATACGCCTTCGCTGTCGACCACGAAACTGTTATTTCACCAGAATCGACCCAGTATGCCACCTACCCCTAATTTTCTCCCGAACAGCCCGAGTCTCCACTAAGAAGGAAAGTGGTTGCCGCCTTCGCTGCGAAGGTTCTTGAGACTGTGCGAGTGAAATCTTCCTCCCGAACAGTCGACTACGACCCGCATTGCTTTGCTCCGTGCCGTGAAGGGAGTCGGGTAAGAACTGCGTCGACGGGGACACCGACTGTCTATAGTCGTCGTGGTCTTACACGTCTTTCGTCCAGCTAAAGCGATCCAAATCACACAGTGCGCCTAGCATCTTCGTGACGGTCTGGCGCCAAGGAGCGCTTATGCGGACCTTAATTTCATCCCTAACTTCTAGAGGCGAGGTACAAAGTCCCGCGTCTTTCGACGTCGTCGTAGTCGTAGTAGTAGTCTTCCTCCCCCAGATGGTGAGCAGTCGATGGAGGCTCTACACCTAGGTCCCCGCCTCTCGTCGCACTATGCAGAAGCAAGTCCTGGCTAACTATGAGCCTCTCTCTCTCCGCGCACCCTGAGTTGAAAAAAGGCGGCCCACGTGGCATTTTCAATACCTGCCGATTATACCGGCGGGTCCGGGAACAATTAGTACAACATTAGCTCCAACATATAGTACGACAATAATACAAATAATGTATATAAACATATGACAAAAACATGTTTCACTCCCTAATAATTTATTTATATTAATTTTTTGCTAATCATATTGGAACCTCCAGGCGTCCCCCGTTTATGCGCGCGTCCAAAGCGATAAATTCTTTTACATAATGGGCGTCCCGGAGGCTTCTATGGACCGCATGACAGTCTTCACCGGGGTCTTGCTTCCGGAGGCTTCTGGGGACCACTTCGCCTGGTTGTCCATATCGTTAATGTTTTGTTTGATTTTAAACAAAGTATTGGCTTTCAGAATATGAAACTTTTATTTCCAAACTCACACGATAAATATATTCTTTAAGCTTGTAAAGGGAAGATGACAGGCAATCTGCTCTTCCGCAGCGCCGCTCCCCCTCCCTCCGGCTGACATTATGAATGTAAGCGTAGAGTAATCATAAATAACACGGCAGGGTCCGTTACAGTTTGTTTTCATCTGATTTCAATTAAACAAAGTCTTGGCTTTCAGAATATTAAACTTGTTTCAGCAAATTCAGATGGTAAATACAACTTTGAAGCTTGTAACGGCATAATTACAAGCGGAGAACGGAGTAATTTAACGTCACAGCAGGCATAACAACAGCCGGTGTTTCTCGTGAGGGTTTACACACACACACACACACACACACACACACACACACACACACACACACACACACACAATATATCTTCCCTCCGTAGTATTTTGATCATTTGCTCCGCTAATAATCAATCAGATCGATGGATTCCAGAGAAGAGAAAACTTTGAAGGCCTTTTTCTCAAAATGATGACTCGGTGACAGTCATTATATAATGTGACATATTTCGCTTAATATTTGGAGTACAAAAACAATCTTGATATCATTAGAAAGCTAGGAATATCCTCTTTCCAGCAGTGTATACAACTCAAAATGTGTCTTCGGGTCAATGCGACTGATTTCGATAGAGCAGGTCAGGCTTATGCTCCAAAGATCCCCAGCACACAGGAAAGACAAAGGTGGCATTGAAGGAGCTTTTGAGGAGAGCTTTCATTCAGGATTGACCCCACTTGTCCACAGAGTCCATTTTGTTCACCTTGGCTAAGATGTTCAAGAGCTTCCTGCTGCACATAGAGAGAGACAGCAGACAGGCAGGAGAAGGTCAAAATCCAGGAGCAGAAGTAGATTGCTTTGACCCAAATTGCTACGCTTGGATTATGTGGAAGCCTACCCTTTAAGAAAGGTAACTGCTATACAAATTGCTGCTGCCATGCTCAGAGTTAGGTAACGGACAATATACTGACCATAACCTCAGTTTTGCTTTGGGTTGTACACTTTTTCCAAAGCTCCAAGGGATATAACCACTTCTTACCACTCACAGACTAATAGGCTGCTAGAGTGTTCCAATAAAACCCTCAACTGCTTCAGAAACAGGAGAGAAATGGGATGAGTTCCTGCCATTTTTGCCAGATGCACACCGAGGCGTTCCCCAGAGCCCAGCTGGGTTTTTGCCATTTGAGCTGAGCCCATTAGGTCGGAGACCCTCTGGATCAGCTCTTTGAAATGAGTGAGGAGGTTGACTCATCAAAGTGTATGAGAAGGATGATTTTTAAACCCATTTGTGACAGCCCAAAGCATTTTAAAACAATCTTGGTGCTGTTCATATACAATGAGCTAAGAAACAATGCTCCAATGCCTTAGGAAAACATTCTGAAATTGCATATATATTAATAAATCATACCTTTTTTTACAGGTTGGATAGGTAACATCATTTTCAATGCTCATTGTGACATTGTCTGCCTTGTTTTTTTTTAAAGATTAGACAGGACAACCATCAACCCTCCTGAGCATGCCTTGTCGACCGTATTTCTGCCTTGTTTTCTGCAATAGGATCTGAAACATGGTCTACAATGCGTCTTGGGAATGGTTAATTGGTATTCAAAGGATGTCTATAGAAGATATCATTTTCTATCTGCCTGTTTCTGTTGCTCAGCCTGCATAAAATGTATGCATTCGTGTATCAAAAATGTGTTTGTGCCTATTACATTATGCATGTTATCATTGTTACATGGACTATTTCAAATTGCACTGAAATACTTACAGAGCAGCTTGGCTCGCATGGGGATTGAGGATAGATGTTTGAAGAAACCATGCCGTCACCATTTACTCACCACTTTCAGCTAAGCACAATATTTCTTACAAGCCTATGGTAGGGATTTCCAGGTGTCCTGCCAGGAAAAGGCTGCCCGCCATTGTCCCTTATTAAACATTTACATAATATGCCACCCATACATTTATAACTCACCGCCTTCCACACTGCCACAAACAGATACATTTATGTGAGACATTCTTATATGGGGATCTTGTTCTTATACTTCATGGCCTGTGTGTATTTTTGATTGACAGTGTGGAGCCTCAGCCTGTCTGGAGCAGTTGGAGGTCAGAGCTTAGCCTGTGATGTTTAACCGGCACAGCATGGAGAGACACATCCATATTTTATTCTGGCCCATGGCAAGAGCTGAGCTATAGATAGCACTTAAGTCGTGTTCCTCTGCAAACAGCAGATGCCTTAAAATATACAAGAATAGTCAAAAGCTAGGAGAAAGGAAAAGTGTCTCACTAAAATGGAACATTACATGCTTTTGCAGCAGCTGGGGATGACGGGACTTGATACAGTAAATGTTCAAATCCTGTAGTGTGCGGATTTATGTCTGTTCCTTGTGTTTTGAATTCCACAAATGTCTTTTTGAGTGCTTTCAACTGTCGATACATTTTCATTTGAAGTCTATTGGCAAACGCCATAGGAGACAATTGCAATACCACATGAGCCTTGGGTTTTTGTTTTTAAATCTCCTGCCATGAACCCTTTTTAACAGTGTCACCTCTAACCCATACCGTTATGTCCTCTACAACGGTATGGATTATATGCTACAACTATAACATTGTCATTAGCTTATCATGCACCATTTGGTATCCGAACACGTTTAGATTAGAGATCTGTTCCTGATTTTGTTTTCATTATTTTTCCTTTATAAAGGCAAGCATTGGGTCCACATTATTTGCTTACTTGTTCATCATGTGAAATGCAACATACAACTATTATTTATTCAATGATTTTAATTTAAAAAAAAAAAACATGTATCTTGCATTACAAAATATAAGCTTATTGTGATTGGGTATTCACAGTTAACCAACATTGATATTGTTCAAACATTCATATTATCTAAATTATGTCGTCATGTTATTTTCCCCTTTTATTTTTTCTCTTTCCATCTCCTCATATGTTCATGTCAGGCTCCTTTTCCTGCTGCTCTTGATCCCTTCTGGCTTTCTTATCTGCATGTTATTCCCAAAAGAATTGTCTTTGCTTCAACACCCATGGCATCTACTGTCAATCCATCTCTTCCTCACGCTGGCTCTTTCTTTTTCTGTCTCGTCCATTCTCCAGTCATCTCTGTATCCATTGTCTTTTTCGACCCTTTATTCTTTTTCTATGTATCTGTCCAACCTCTTACTCTCCTCTCATGTACCTGCCACCCTTCCAGTGGCAGTGCTGTCAGGGAAATCAAAAATAGCTTCCCTTCTCCGCTCCTATTGAAACAATTGCAAATATAATATCACAGAGGGAATCAGAGCTGGTATGAACCCCTGTTTCCTTCCTATCGATCCCCTCTGCACTCATTTGCTCCCTAAGCCGTGAAGGGGAGGAGAGCAAACAAGGGAATATAGATGTGACTGAAGTGTGTGTGTGTGTGTGTGTGTATGTACCCACATACATGTATGCATAGGTTTGCTGAACAGAAAAAAAAAAACATTTTGTGAAAGGACGCAATAAAAGGTAGTTTAATGAAAAAAAACTAATATCCAGCAATTTTTTTTCTGCCTCTAGCAGATTTCCTCCAAATTAAAACAGCAGGGGTTGGTAAGGTCTAAAGATCTTCAGACATGTTTCCGCCATTTCCCTCATGGCTACATCTGTCTCTGTGTATATGAATGCCGGACGGTTTTGAAAAGGTCCATAACTGACTCTCAATTTTAAAAAGATGGCACAAATTGACACTAAATTAGCAATAAATACATAAGAGTTTTAGCACATTAGTTACAGTTTGTCATTTTATTTAGTTAACTCTATTTGTTTTGTCTTGGCTTTTAGTGGGTGTTTCTATGATGTTTGAAATTGAATGTGGCATGATGTGTGCTGAATTCTATACAGTGTAATATGACATTATGCGTGGAATAGGAGTAAGTACTCTAATCAATCTTCCAAGCTGCATTGCAAGCCATATCACCACCTGCCTCAGGGCATTGTTGAAGAGTCTGAAAACATTGCATCGTGTCTCACTGACTTTCAGCAGAGGGGGGATCTCTTCTTGAGCCTGAGAGAAATAAGGGTCAAACACTATTTATGGAAAGAGAGTCACGGTCAAAGGTTTCACTTTCTGACGGGCAGAAATTCCCATAGGCTGTATCAGCGATTTGGTGAAAGCCAGCCTAGTCTTGTTCATTTGGCTTTTTTGGAGTAGCTGGTCCTTCAGTTTATTTTTTGCTGAGAGTACAACCACTGCCCTTCCTTGTGCTGAATAGCATTTTCTGGGAAGGTGAGAGCATCAGATACTGGCATCTTTGTATCCGTTTTTCTTCATAATACCCAGAAATATATATAGAAACTCTGCATCTGCAAATGAGTGCTTCATCAGTGAATTGTTTGATGAAAAGAATATTGATTGCAATCGAGATATATCGTATAATCATACCTTGATTATTATTTGTATTGCATTAGCAGCATCAACTATAAAATTAGAAGTAATGGTTTGAGTAATTGGTATTAGCCAACAGTATACTATATTCTCATTAAAGAGTTTGAAAATAGAATGCAATC